GGATCGCTTCTGTTGTAAAGCCGACAGTCGGCTCTACAAGTTTAAACAGAGTCCCGGCGGCAAAAGTCGCCGGGAGTCTGTTTAAACAGCCCCGATGCTGGCGACATACACTGTACGTCGTCAGTCACGAAGGGGTTAAATACATCAAAGTGACATTAAAGGATACATTTTCCCCCCCTCCCCCCAATGTTAATGTCAGCACATACCTTAAATGATGTCTCTTATTCCGATCTTCTTTCCTGATGTTTTCATCTGTCAAAGGGTGTGAAAAAGGTTCAGAAGGGAAGTATTTTCAACATCAACTAAGATCATGAATACGTACGGGGACATGACCTCAAACTAGCAGCAGGAAAGTACAAAACTAACCTTACAAAGTATTTTTAGTTGATGCTTGGAATAGACTTCCAGCAGAAGTAGAAGTAGTGAGTTGGTTAACAGTAAGTGAATTGAATGTGAAGTGTGGGCAAAAATGTTATTGGGGCATTTGCTAGGTACCAATAAGGTACCCCTAATTATGTGTAGCCCACGGGTGGCTGCTGTTTCTGTCTTGAAAAACATTTTGTACATGCAACCTCTGACGGTGATGTCACCTCTGAAGTTCCGACGGTGGAACTGACAGTTAGGCTCCATTCACACCTAAGCGGTTTTCCCGTGCGTACACACGCTAAACATAAAAACCAATGCATTCCAAAGTGCATTGTTCAGACTATTACCAGCGGCCGCGCAAGACAAAACCACGCGTCCCACAAAATAGTGCAAGCGCGATCTTAGGGGCGGATTCCACAAGTTTGTGGGTAAAGTAATAGCCACAAACATGCGGAATCCGCGCGTATGTGCACATTTTCGTGCTGTGCGGTTTCCCGCGGAAAAACACCATATCCCAGATAGCAAGGATAACTTGCCACAAACTTGTGGGAGGGTTAAATTGTAATTTTTGTTAACTTGCTGCACACATTCCTGGCAAGTTGTAGACTTGCAGAATACTTGCAGCACAAGTTCTAGTTGACACAGTTTGAATTTGTAGCAAATTTGCTTGGCAAGTCTACAGCAAGAGTCCTGCAGGTCTTACAAGAGCTCTGCAAGTGTACAGCACTTTTGCAAAGCACGTTGATCTAGAGACTTGCAATGCAGACTTGCTGTAATTGTGCAACAAAATTGTGAAGCTTTGCAAGTCTGCAAACTTGCAGCTCAATTGCTTGCTATCTGGGTATGTGAATGGAGCCTTAATGCTGGAGCCCAGTGTTCACAGTGGGTCGCTTGTTGTGCAGCTCCTCCATGCATAAAACATCTTGCATTCTTTTCAAAGAATACAAGGAGGGGAATTTATGAAAACTGGAGCAGAGAAAATCTAGAGCAGTTGCCTACGGCGACCAATCAGCTTCTCTTTTCAGTTTGTTCAGTTAAGATGTGAAAATGAAAGATAGAAGCTGATTGGTTACTGTGTACAGCTGCTCCAGATTCTGTCTGCTCCAGTTTTGATCAATTCCCCCCAAGGTGTTTTGTGATTGGACAAGGGGCGGCCGTGAGGTTTGTACACCCCTTGTGTCTAATCACAGAACACCTTGTTAGTTTGCTACACAACATGACACCAAAAGGGCCAAGTCATAGGTCATGTACAAAAAGCTTACCAAGAAACTCAGACCAAGTTCTTCTGCTTTTAAGAGCATATACCCCAGCAAACAGAAACATTGTATACCTAAGCAATGTAAATAAGGAAGGGGAAAAAAAATCATGCCTTTGCTCTGCAGAGCATGTTCACAAAAAATGTAAGTGGGCTAAGTCTTGGGTTTGGGGGACCAGATAGTAAGGAATCTGTAAAGATGCCCATATAATCTGAGCGTTTGTAATTCAAATGGGAATCTACAAGCTCTGATAAAGGGGGCATGTCCCTGAAACGCGTACGCTTTGGTGGTAACTCAGTGGCTGGAGTTTCCCTGGTAGGTATTCTATCTGTTATGGGATTCTGAGTGTGAACATCGTGGAGTTATACGCCTTATGATAATTTATGTTCGAACACATTGTCACATTTGTGGGTATTTTATTAAATGTATTATTCTTCACATAAACTGTATTTCACAAGGGGGAGACGTTTTTATATTGTATTATATTGCATGTATGGCAATCTACAGGCCTATACCAACAGTAAGAGCTATTATTGTATGCTGGTGGGAAGTTTGAGTTGGTAAAGAAAGGCTGCAGTAGTGGTTTCAGCAGAATTTGTATTTGGTTTAATAAAGATATGTAAAAAATGTAATACTTCCCTAACATTAACCAACATCTGTCCTATTTACATTGCTGTGGTGTTTTTAAGCATTTTTTAAAATATTTTTTTTAATGAAAATTAAATTGACCAGCCTGGGAAACTCAGGATCCAAGCCACTAGCAAGACCTGCACCTCAGCACTCACCTCACTCTTCAGTGTCCACCATCAGTAAGGTCTGAACTCTATTTTGTCTATACAATCAGTGCAATATGTCCCCCAATACACATACCACTTTTCTCTAAATGTATTCACGCCACCAGCAACTTCTACTCCACAGTTCATGTACGTCAATCCCTGGAATTAGTTCTCCCAGTGAGATTTACCCCCTTAAACTCCACAGTCCAGCAGAGTTAGTGAACTCTCACTCATGGCACTCTCTCTATCTGTCCACACTCCAGACCGTCAATGCTGAGTTCCCTGTAGCTGGGTCAGTAAGCCAAGAGTCCAGCGGGTCACTAAGCCCAGAGTCAAATTCATATACTGTTCTCCATTGCTGTATTAATGTATTGCTGGGATTTGTAGTTCCCCTATAGCTGGTGCCATTGTGCATTAGAGCTCCTCTGTACAGAGACTGATGTGACTGGCTCAGTGTTCTTTGTACAGCACTGCGGTATAGGTCAGAGCTATATACATGTATAATAATAATAGTGTGACTGTGGGGCGACATTAGAGTGTAAGCTCCTCTGTACAGAGACTGATGTGACTTTGGGGGGGGGACATTAGAGTGTAAGCTCCTCTGTACAGAGACTGATGTGACCGGGGCTGCAACAACTAATCAACCAAGTTGATTAAAATCGATGGAAAATGTTGTCAACGTTTTCCATCATCGATTAGTCCGCTTTCGATTAGTTGCCCCTGTTCGTGGATCCACACGCACTCAAAATCATATCCCAAACCTACTGCCAGTTTTCAGAAGACACTTTTTCTTCAAGCAGCGGTACAGGAAAAAGTCTGCATCTTTCAAGAAGGCCATGATATTTATGCAGGACAATGCTCCATCGCATGCATTGAAGTACTCCACTGCTTGGCTAGCCAGTAAAGGCCTTAAAGATGAAAGAATAATGACATGGCCCCCTTCCTCATCTGACCTAAACCCTACTGAGAACTTCTTAAACAGAAGATCTACGGTGAAGGAAAACAGTACACCTTTCTGAACAGTGTCTGGGACGCCGTGGTTGCTGCTGCACAAAACGTTGATCTTCAACAGATGAAGAAACTGACAGACTCCATGGATGGAAGTCTGATGACTGTTATTGAAAAGAAGGGGGGCTATATTGGCCATTGATTTTGGTTTTGAAAAGAAATGTTTATTTATAAATTTTGAGTTGTTTGTTTATTATTCTCACTTTAACAGTTGAAAATAAACAAGGAGATGGGAACATTTTCATTTTCCATTTAGTTGCATAATAA